CAGTGGGAAAGCAGCAGAGGAGCCGCTGCTGGACTCTGGAGAGTGGCTATTAATACTGACGAATTAGGCACATATTTGGACAGGAGAGTCAGTAACTGCCAGCACGCAGCTTCTGAGGGGAGGGGGAAGATCCGTCTCATGTCATTCCCGGGCGAGGATGGATGGTTTTCTGCGAGATGCTTCAGCCCAGAGCAACTTCATGGGGCTCAGCGCATGAGGGAAAAATGATGATGGGCATGGTGCAAGTAGCCAGGCAGCTGCCCTGGAGCCAGGCAGGGCTTCAGACCTCAGATGTTCCCCCAAACACGTGCAGTTTTCCCTTGCTGCCCACTCCCCTTTGCTCCAGGTGTCACGGCTGTGTCCAACCAGTTGGGGCCACCCAGGTGCCCAGGCCCCCGAGTCTGCCCTCAAGGCCGTCCTCTGGGGTGACCTCTGGGACAAGGGGGTGCAGAGGAATGTGGGTGCGCATCCCTCCCATTGCTGCCCTGTGCCCAGCCCCGTCCTGGGCTAAGGTCTCCGAGGATGGGAACCCTGCCCTGTGCCCTGCTCCAGGGTCCAACCGCCTTCCCAGGGAAAGGCTTGTCCTGCTGGTCAATGGGAACTTCCCAAGTGCAACCTATGCTGCAGCCTGTCGCCCCGTCCCTGGGCTCCCCGAGAAGTGAGGCTGTGGCTTCGCTGCTTGCCCACGACTTGGCTGGATTTGGGTCCCCACAGAGGTGCTGGCACCTCGTGACTGTGGCATCTGTGGTCCAAGCCCCGGCGTGTGCTTACTCAAACCTCCGTGCCAAAATAACCCCTGCCTCCAGTAGAGGAGATTCAGGGCGGTCCCAGTCCCGTGTCCCTCTCCTGGTGTCTGTGCCACCTCCCCTCACCTGCACCCCAGCCCGGAGGACGTGGCGGGGGGTGCGTTTGCAACCCTGTACTGGGGGTGCCGGATCTCCCTTGGCCCTGGGATGCCAGGATAAGGCCAGGGCTGCTGCCGCACTGTGCCCGCTTACTGTCCTTGCTCAGAGGGACCCTGTGCCCGGCTGGTACCTGGGTGAGAGCCTGGAGCCAGGTCAGGCCAGTGCAGATTGTCAGGGGACAGCTGAGAGGACTGGGATGCCTGCAAGAGTCACAAATCCACCCTGGAGCCCAGCCAGGGGTGAGTGTCCCAGGGGCAACAGCCCCTCCACACCCCCGGGGACGTGCCCGCAAGGGGACAGGGGTCACCGGCCATGATGCTGCGGGATGCTGCCCTCACCGCTCATGATATTGGTCCCGGAGGCAGGGGACACGTGCCAGCCCGCCCGCGTCCCCGCTCCACCCCGCAGCATCCCTGCCCGCCCCGCCACGGCTCCGGGCCCCCCGAG